GTCATCACTACCATCATCCTCAGGGTGTCACTCGTCATCAACAGCAAGTCATGGGTGGCGTCATTATCCACGCTGCTCATCATGATGATGATCATCATCATTGTGTCTTCATAGGGTGCCGCTGGGGTTGCTCGTTATCATCATCATCATTGTCATTACGCCAGTATCATTACCATCATCAATAGTTCACCATCATAAGGCGTTGTTGGCGAACCTCGTCGTCATAAGGTGTTGCTCACCATCATCATCACTAGGCTATCATCCAAGGTGTTCGTCATTAACACCATCATCATCCTTTTGTCATCACAGGGCGTGGTGCGTCATCATCATCATCACCATCATCATCATCATCATCATCAACATCATCAATTTGTAATCATAGGGCACTGTTGGTACTGTTCTTCAGTATGATCAGCAACATTATTCTGTCTTCATTTTCATCCTTACTATCATTATCATCATTTTGTTATCATTAAATGCTGTTTTTCAAGGCCTTGTTTGCCTTTCACATCAGCAGGTGAGTTGGTTGTCATCATTATCTTCATCATCATCATCTTCAGGATGTTGTTCATCGTCATCAGCAAATCCAAAAAAATAAAACTCTCATATCTTAGGATGCCTTTCATTATAATTCTCAGAAATTTCCTATTCTTCCACTCATATCTTAGGAATTTGAATTCCTCAAACTCTTGATGCTCGTTTTTTTTTTTCTCCACTATTAATTGCTGGTTCCCCTTCGGGCGCATTAATGAATTATTTTTGTGTGGGTGGGGGGGTTGGGGTTTTAAGGAGGAGAGGTCTACTCCGCAAGGGCTTCACAAGGTGGGGGTTGAAACGTCCTGGAGGGAGTGGGGGCAGATTTTTGGGGGTTGCCCTATTCTAGGGATGGGAGAGATGTATGGGCTGGCATCATATCCCAGCGAAGGCAGATAGGGGTGAGGGGGTGGCTGAGGCATACTTTGGGTGGAACTGGATGCCTTAGTGGAAGTGGGGGAGGAAACAGGTATATCCCAAGTTGGGGCCGATAAGGAGAGCTTGTGATCAGGGTAGTCCTTTTCGGTGGAGGCAGCGGAGGGATAGGGGGAGATGTAGGGGAGGGGGGGAAATAATCTACAGCAACGTCTGGAATTCTGGTTATTCTCTTTAGTGTAAACAAATTACATCTGGTAAGGGGGTGGGTTGGGGGAGAGCTCTACTCTGCAGGGGCTTCACAAGGAGGGAGGTGATTGCCCTGAAGGGAGACAGGGCAGATTTTGGGGGATGCTCTATTCTGGGGCTGGGGGAGATGTATGGGTCAGCATCATATCCCAACGGCGGCAGATAAGGGCAAGGGGTTGGCAGAGGCATACTTTGGGTGGGAACTGGATGCCTTCGTGGGAGTAGGGGGGGGAAATGGGTCTGTCCCAATTTGGGGCTGATGAGGAGTGCTCGTCATCAGGGGCGGTCCTTTTTGGTGGAGGCAGCGGTGGGGAAGGGGGATGAGGGGAATGGGGAGAATTCCTATATCCTTTGCTTAGAATACTCAAAACAAGCACCCTTCTTATTTCCTGGTAGTTTGAAGAATCTTTCAGGACTCTGAGGGACTGTTGGTGGTTTATACGAAGCTGCACTGGAATTAGACTGTTATATTCAGGATCCGTGGCTGTTCCATGCCAGAACGACGCTGGCCGGAGCCCGGGTGATGCCTTGTAACTTGCCGAAGGTGAGGGCATGAGGCCTTGTAGAGAGATCTGGGGATGCTATGCGGGGGCATCCTAAGGGACAGCTGGGGGTTGCTGACACAGGACAACACTGGTCGGAGTTGGAGTGAGTCGCGTTGCTCTGTAACTTAGCGGATAGGGGTGAGGCCCGGATGAGTTTGTCAGAGAATAAATCAGTTTTTGTGAGCTTTGTTATGATCTGCTGGAATTCCCTTAGATACTTGAGTGTTCAAAAAATTGAGGGCGGATTTCAGGAGGTGTTTAGCGATCGTAAAAAAGGATCCGTAGTTTTTATCATCATCTATATTCATAGTTTTCTCATCATTTATCCCGATTTTCAGCAATTTGTTTATGATCTTGGAAGATACTCTCAAGCCGAAACCGGGTAATGGCCCCTGTACTTCAATTTGTTCATAAATCTTTTCAACATGTCTTCATGTGGGACGCTGGGCCCGATTCCCAGCACGTGCTGCTCCCGACGAATAGATTGGACAATGTCTCTGGTAAATAATAAAAGAAAAGAAAAAAAAAAGGACTGTTCCCGACGTGATCTGTGCCTATGTAAGAGCTAAGAAAGGTAACGATCTTATTCCAGATTGAATTATTCTCAGAGGACCTCGAATTTAGGGCGGCGGGAGTGAAACGGTTTTCACCTTCGCAGTAGCAGATGCAGATCCCAGGGCTCGATCCCTAGACCTCCCCCTCACCTGTGTACAGTACCAGTCGACCCCTGTATGTTTGAACCGGCGACCTGTGCCTTGAGAGTCACCGGTTTGTTGTTGTAGGTAGGTCGACGTTGGGTCTCGAACTGTAGGTCTGTAGATTAGAAGTCTTAGCAGAGGTAGGAGTCGTAGCTGCTACAGTCCCCAAGAGTCCAGTCGTAGCTGCTACAGTGCCGTAGGATCAAATGGACAGCCTTCCGAATCTTCCGGAAACGACCTTTCATAGGTCTTAGGAGATGGGCCGTAGACGCTGGACCCGTTTTCCAGCAGGTGCAGCTCCCCACCAATAGATGGAGTGACCAATGTAAACCATAGTAGGGAGGGCTGCTCTTATAACCCTAAAGGTAGGCCGTAGGCAAGTGGGCAAGTGGGCAGACTAACTCTGCCCAGTCATCGGTACCCAGTCCCAGTTGCACTTTGTCAAGTCAGCAAGTACCATGTGGGACTGTGTGCACCTCGGGCCCAGGGTCTGAGGGCAGACCATTGACAATCCGAAGTATAAATCAAGAGGCAGCATCAAGCCATTCATTCATTCTGCCTGTGAGGCATGCGGAAGCGCTGCCTGAGCATCTTGTGCAAAGAGGTCTGCAGGTGCCCGAGGGAGAAGAGGGCTAAGAGGAAGGAGATCGGCCATAGCCGAGGTGTTAATGGTAGGAGGAAGACGACAGCCATAGCCGCCACGTCAGCATGTCAGTAGTGTGTTAGTATGTGAAAGAGAGAGAGTTGTGTGTGTGAGTCGGGACATCCAGGGAGATCCAGTGTGTGTGTACGAACAAGTTGCTGAGAGTGCAAGTGTTGGCCATCGTCGGCCAGGACAAGTTTGAATCTGGGTTGTGTTCTTGGTTCCATTATCTCTGCGCTTTGTGTGGGCGCTAGTTGCCAGCTTGAACGTCATCTGTTTGTATGCATGCTGAAATGGAGGAAAGACGAGTCTGAATGCACACACAGACACACACACACGCACACAAACACACACACACACACACACACAGACAGACACACACGCGCACACACACACACACACACACACACACACACACACACACACACACACACAGACATACACTTATTTTTTTTAAAACTGCGCGCGCTCCTCAGGCTGGTGGCTTCTGACACGCGTGCACCTGCAGGGGGTTCACGTTCAGTTTTGTGCTATTCTATGCCACGTGGCACGCTTGAACGCTGTTGAACGTGTCCACGCATGCGTTTGAACGCGAACACGAATCGCCACATAGTTGTATTCACATGTGCTGTATTAGAGAGACACGTGTTCTTTTGGTCACGATTACCTAAGGTTTGACTGGATTTTGAGTAAGTCAGACCCTTCTTTGCCCTGCTATAAATCCCCGTCTTTTCTTGTGGCGCTGAATGGTTCTAGTAGTGGTAGTCGATTTGAGTAGGGCCGAGTTCGACTTTGGACGGGGCGGGGTTCATCCTTCGTGTATGGGGAAGCAATCAATGCCTCTATTTGTGTCATATTGGGAAGTTGTCTCCATGGGAGCAGTGGCTGAGGCTCATCCAACCCTAAGGGGAAGAGGCATGTGTTCACTCTGTGTTGAAGTTGATAATGAGAGCCTTGGGCACTGGGGCCCTATTTCCAAAAAAAGAAAAAAAAAAAGAAAAAAGACCAGGTCATGTCAGCCTGTCTAAGTGCAAGGGTGAGCCTCCAATTTCAGAATTCGATTGGCCGTAGGTTTGAGGGTTGATCACAAAGGAGGGAGGATGCCGTATAGAAAGCAACCAAAGATACAAGTTTTTATTTATACTTATTTATTTTTATAAAGAAAGTCCAGGTGGTTGTAGAGGCTGGCCACCAGGCATATGACAGGCCCGTCGCCAACAGCCCATTTTATCATCCCGGTGCATTGCCTAACCAGCCCCCCTATGAGACACCCTCCAACCCTTACTTGCCATTACAATGCCCCTCACATCCCTACTCCCAAGGTCCTACTTGAGTAGACCCAGGATCACCACCCATTCTAGTGACCTTGGCTGTCCTGAGTAGACCCAGGTTCATCACCCACTGGCATTCTAGTGACCTTGACCGGACAGCGGTTATAGGCATCAGGGCTAGGCAGGTTCTCACCTCCCTCCCAACCCTGATTGAAACGCTATCAAACGAGCCACGTTGTACCAGCACGTCGAACGCTAGGGGTAAACATGCTACTGCAGGTCTAGGCGAACTCTAGTATTTTCCTGTTAGAGAGATCTTAGCCTTGTCATCATCAAATCCCTCTGGTTATTCTTGAATTCTAGCGGAGGTTATTCGAACCTAAAACATCCTCAGTTTCCGTCCTCAGTAGGCTTACAGCCACCATCTGCTCCCCATACCTCTATCAGTAACAAGGTGTCTAGGCATTCTATGAGCATCCCCCAGAGTAGTTCTAGTTTCCATCCTCAGCGGGTTTATGGCCACCATCCGCTTTCCCCAACCTCGTTCATCAACTCTGGACTATTACAATCTGACAGCATTCTTCATGCAGCCTCTGTTACATGCCCAGTTGCGCGATGTACATAATGACCGAGGATCCGCAATGTGATAAAAAGGACTGAATGGACAATGCAGTGCAAGTAGAATCTCAACAAGCAATGTGCATTCCGATACATACAAAATGGTGCTTTTATAGAGCAGTGGAAGACTTAGATACAAGTCCTGACCTGACCGGGACTGACCTCTTCCACATAGTACAAGATAGCGAAACAGAATGCTAGAATGTTAATGACTAGCCCAATCAACGTTTCTACGCAGACCAAACATACATCATGCTCATCACAAGGTGTGAAGGGGCCTGGCACTATACACAGGAAGAAAGCGCCAGGGCCAGACATACACAGACGAAGAGGAGGGGATCAGACGAAGAAGAGGGGGAGACATGGGAATGTCGTCAACACCAAGTCTTTGTCACAAGTCACAAATAATCCCTCGTCGAAATGTCTGAAGCCCAAAAGTCGAGTTTGGATCCAATGTCACCAAGCTCTCTCTCTCTCTTTCTCTCGTAGTCTGCTGATGCAGTGAAGTCAGATAATGAGAGGGTGAGAGGGAGATGGTGGACTGAGACGAGGAAGAAGAAGAACCATCTCTCTCTCGTATGCAAGGTACTAACCTGTGAAGGTGGCGCTGTGCTGCCGGTACCTCGAAGACGAAGCTGGAGCAACGGCGCTGCAGGAAGTATCCCTGGCCTTCGCCCAATCTCTCTCTCTCTAGTACTACCCTAGCTATGGCGCCCAGCGCTGAAGACTACAGCTACACTACTAGCGCCCAGCGCTGAAGACTAATGCTAACGCTACTACTACTCCTGCAGCGCTCCTCCAGAGTGCTGCTGCCGAATCCTGAAGACTACCTCCTGCCTCCTGAACTGCACGTGAAGTGCCTGGGAAGTCCCTATGAACTACCTACCTGCCTGTAGTGCGGGCCAGTCTTATATAGTGCTGGCCCGTCCAGGAGGCTGCTCTTGCCAATGCCCAAATGTGCTAGACCCTGAGGAAGCTTCCGGGAGGCTGCTCTTGCCAATGCCAGAACGTGCTAGCCACTGAGGGGGAAGCTTCCGGGTAGTTTCCAGGTAGCTTCTGGCTAAAGACTGAGGGCCTATAGGCCCTTGTTTTCAGGCTGTCAGGCTGAACCGACACAGGGCCTGTAGGCCCTCGTTTTCAGGCTGTCAGTCTGACACGACACAAGGCCTGTAGGCCCTTGTTTTCAGGCTGTCAGGCTGAAACGACACAGGGCCTGTAGGCCCTTATTTTCAGGCTGTCAGGCTGAACCGACACAGGGCCTGTAAGCCCTCGTTTTCAGGCTTTTAGGCTGAAAACGACACAGGGTCTGTAGGCCCTCGTTTTCAGGCTTTTAGGCTGAGAACGCTGGTCTGGCCCTGCAGGCCCGTGTGGCTGCACAGTATGCCACACAGGGCCTGTAGGCCCTTGTTTTCAGGCTTTTGGCCTGAAAACGTCACGGGCCTGGAAATGGCCCGTGCAGCCTGTTGCAGGCGCAGCATGTAACAGCCTCTAATGCAGGTTCCCCGCCTTTATCCTCCACCATCTATCCAGTGCTACTACACCAACCAAGAGGACCCCTAAGACAACCACTACTGCAAGGGCCCCAATCCTCCAGTAGGGATAATGTCCAACCAACTCTCCCACCCAGAGCACATGCCCCCCCAAAGCAGCTATGGCTGCTCTAGCTCAGGCCGCCATGCCTGACTCTGCCTCGAAGCTCCTTGGTGTACCTCTTCCCCTTAGGGGTCTTCTTGCAGCAGCGCCCACCAAGGTGATGAAGATGGCTGCCACCATAGCCAGGTAAGTACCTCTGGCGCTCCTCCCTAGCCCTGGCCTTCTTCCTCCTCCGTGTCCTTGCTCCTTCCCCAGCAGCGCTGCTGAATGCTAGCGCTGCTCCAGCCAGCGCTTCAACCAGTGTGTCGCCAAACTTGCACACCGACAATGAGGCTGGGCTCTTCGCGCGGCCTGGAGATATAACGACCTACTTGCCTCTTGGGCGGTGACTTCCAGGCCGCTCGGCCTCCCAAGCAACCGGTACCTCGTCCCATTCAGAGGGAAACATCATTGCGGACTCTGATATTGCGCGTACAGGCCCTAGACTCAGACTGGTTGGACTGGTACCCACCTAGACCTAGCCTACAACTACTGGGCCTCTAAAAATGCCAACTTTTGTCTTCTTCTGCTCAGCCTTGAGTACCAGGCACATCTACCTCTACAGGGTGTGGTACCGGCCCACCTGCTACTTGAATGTTTCCCCGCTGCTTCAAGTGTTGCGGGCCTCTTTCCCCGCCACTTGAGTGTTTTCCCTGCTGCAATTCTCAAAGCCACAGCCACAGGTAAGTACCGGCCCTGCGGGCCCAATGAACGAACAAGTGCCCTTGCGGGTCACACACACACTCAAGCCAACAAGCACTCAGACAGACATGCAGACCAGCAAGTGCGCACACACACAGACTTAGAGAACTCAGTAGCAAGCGGGAAACTCAGCAAGGCATTCAGTCCATGAGCATGTCCTTAGGGACATCCGTTAAAATTGGAACGATACAGCGAAGATTAGCATGGCCGCTGCGCATTTAAAAGAAATCAGCTGTGTGTCTCAGTCCGTGTTTGGTCAGGTCATCACAGGTTAGTATACACACACACACACACACACACACACACACACACACACAC